GGCCAAAATATTCTAATTGTTATCATTGGCGAAATTGAGTTTTACCATTTTATTGAATTTGATTTTACTTTTGACAAATCAATTGATTTTCAGGCGGTTCGTTGCTTTATTGGTTCGAGTTTTTGGACGATTTTGTGTAAAAGTGTTTGGAAGAATTTTTTGAATCTTTGGAAAACTTCGAACTTCTTCTTCTGTTCTGGTTAATTATTCTCTTGAGGTCAATTGAACCAATGATAATATTTTCTTGTTTTTCTATTGCTTTTCATCTTTTCTCTTTTTTCTTCTCATCTGGTCATCATTCTGATTATCAAGATGAAATAAATAGTTTTCTTTCTTCTTCTAATAATGTTCTTTTACTTGCCTTTTTTTATTCTGTAAAATGATAAGATTACAGAATTTTTGCTCTTCTCGAGTTCATTTAAGAGTATTGATGGTGAACAGAAAGTAAATAATGGATCGAGATTGTGATTTACCTTTAACCATTGTTTTATCATTGCTCATCAGATACAGAATGTTTCAAAAGGTTGAATCTCCAGAGAAATGGTGCATTATTGATAGTCAATTTGAGTGTCTTTTTGTTTCTACACTTTGTGCTGCTTAAATGCTATCCATTGATGGTTAATGTACAAATATCTGCTCAATTGAGCACAATTAATCAAACAGTGATAATAATCAAGGAAAGGAAAGCACAAACAATCACGATCAACTTGGTTAATCTGTTGATTTGTATCAGTTTGCTAACACACAAAATGGAATCGTATCCAATTTATAACCTTGTTAACATCAACTAATGACTAACCTTAATTTTGACCTTTTTATTCCTTTTTTGTTGCTAGATTTTTAAAGCCTCAAAATTGACCGGTCACTGAATTCCGGAAGTGCTGTTTATCTCCCCATAGATTGAGATATAAGGAGGAATGGAGAGACATGGATCTGGAAGTAAATACATCCGAAGCTCGGGTCAGTACATCAACAGTTACTTGCAAAGCATCGGATCAGGCAGAGTATATGGCAGTACCAGAGGCAACACTAGATTCGAGTCAACCCTTGGACTTGGAGTCAACAGGCAACCTATTAACTCTGTCAACCGGTTCAACCTTCCTTTCCCTTTGGCCTTGGCTTCGGTATGTTGATGAAGAAGCAGATGGATCAAGTAGTTATGGTGATCAAATAGACCCATCATTGGTATCCACTGTTAGTCCGTTAGTATTAACCGAGTCAGCATTGATCCAAGGTGCTCAACCTGGACCCATAGAGTCTCCACATTTCATTGACAGTAGGGATAAAAGTGGTAAACAGTTTCCATCCAGTGCAATGGAACCAGCTTGTACCCTTACCAAGTCCAATGTGATTGCTATCGAACCGTGTATAAAGCGTCCCTTGGGTCGCCTAAGAAGTGGCTCAAGTGGAGCACCAAGGTTTAGTAATAGTGCAACCGGGGAAAAGGTGAAAGGAGGTCCAGCTGATAGGAGAGCAAGCTGTGTAAATCGGGTCGATTTTCCTCCTTCGTTTTACCTCCACCGTACACGACGATTATCACGTAAGCAGCTTTCATCTGAACGTGAAGGTTCATCTTCATCTTCAGTTTCTGCAGAACCAATCACCAATCCGGACCTGCCTTATCCTGACTACACTGAACTTTCATTTCGATGTCTAAGTCAATATTCACCAGTTCGTCGAGTCTGTCTGGCCATGATTTCCAATCCATATCCTTTTCATGCAAAAAAATTTTCTTTAAATGTTCTAATTCAGCTTTCTTCTTTTTTACAAAAAAAAATTCATTCATCTTTCATTCCAAATCATCAAATTAACCAACAAATTAACAGCAACAATAAAAGCAAAAAAAGTTAAACAAAACATGAACAAAATGGTAAGAACCTTTGAATTGATTATGATAACATTAAAGCCTCAATTAATACAGATTCTCTCGATCCAGTGATTCTTTTCAGGGTAGAAAAAATTCTGTTTATCAGATTTTCTCCTTTTCACTCATTGCCATTGATTTGTTTTAACTGTTTTATTTCAATTGTCACTGTTAATTTATCGTCTAATTGACAATTACAATTGAATGTTGAGTTAAAATTTAACTTGATTGACCTAAAGCAGCCTTTTTTTACCAAAAAATAATCCTTTTCCAAACCATTAATCTTCCTCTTCCTCTTCAAAGCCTTTCATGGAATACAGAAGATGAGGAAGAAGAGAAAGAAGAAAATTCCTTGAACCAAAGACAATTAGAATTACCTCAATTTCCTTTCAATACCACACTTCAATTGACAATATCAATGGTTACCTTGTGTCTGATCAAGATGCAAGTCAAAGACTTCTCATTTCATTTGTTAACTTGATTTAGTGAAACTCAACAATTGTAAAGGTGAGACGAAAAAAGGAACGAAATTAAACCTCTAATCGACGATGAAAATTATTAAACACTTACAGTGTTTTCACCTCACTCGATTGAACCTGATCCATCTATATCATCATCAAGATTACCATTAATAATAACAAGACTTGTACAATATTAATGTGGATAAGAGTGAGCAAGATTAATGAATAGAAAAGGGTAAAGGAGTATGGGTAAAAATTCTGACTTTCCAGTTAAGAGTTGGAACTTTGTAGGTTTGTAGGCCCATAAAAATTGAGTCCATTAGTGGCATTGAAAAATTTCTCCGATCGACAGTTTTCGAGAAAATCGAGGTCAAAGTGCAAACTTCGATCGCCATTTTTTCAATTATGGGACAAGATTTTTTCATGAAACTTATTTTGCTGGGGTAACTTTTGATGGCTAAACAGATAATGTGATTATTTTGTGAAATAAAATTCTCTGTTTCTGTGCAACAGATCCCTTCGATATCACTTCGATTTTCCGTTAAACCTCCGCCAATCTGTGACCATGCTAGCTAGAGATCTGAAACTTATTATTTGTCGATAAAAATTGTTAGTACATAGCATCGATCGAACACTTTTTTCAATTCATCAACAGTTCTCTTGATTTTGGCCATTGACCTGAAAACTTTGAACCCTGATATCTCAAGAATGGTAGTATCTACAGTCATCATTCTTCGAGCAATCATTAGATTAAACTACGAGCTTTTATATAATCTGACTGGTTATATCAAAAATCTGCGTATTTTCATTAATGTATGAAAAGAATTATCACGCATCATAAGAATAATCATTCAACTCAATATGCGAAATATCAAATCTGAAACACATGTAATTCAGTGCTATAAACGGCTGGTTCTAACTTTTTATGATTAAGATAC